ACACACACACACACACACACACACACACACACACACACACACACACAGCTGCTATCTGGAGCACCGTGAAACAACCGAAATGAAAATAGTTAGGTTTGACGAAACAGAGTGCAACACATACACACACACTCTCGCTCTCTCTCTCTCACACACACACACACACACACACACACACACACGGGAATGCTTCTGTTTCTATCTAAAGGCTCTGAGTCCAATGAGAGCAGAATACTACTTTATCTTGCCACGCTGCCAAAACACTTGTGGCTTGGAGCTCCGCCAGGAGTGTAGCTGTTGGAGAGATTTCCTTAACAAAATCAAAAATGAACGAACACACACACACACACACACACACACAGAGCTGCTGATCATTCCCATAAGCTCTGGAATACACAAGCAGTGATGGAGAAAATGCCTGAAAGGGATTGAGAGAAACTCAGTCGGGAATGACCTACATATTTCTAAGGTACAGGTCTTAGTGGGCTTTAGGCTCAGCAACAAAGTGAATATTCTTTTGCAAAGTGCAAAAGCCAATGACAATAACATCTGATTTGTAAATTGAATAAATTTACTGACGATTTCCAGGTCTACGTTTTTATTTGTCTACAAGCTGATAAAGAGCCTCTTTTGAATCAGAATGTGGAATAAACAAGTCAAAAGTGCACATTCTCAAATCTAGCATCCACAATGTGATTATTTTGCCAATTAAGTCCTGATATGATCATAGTGTACAGTTGTTAAATAAATCATTAATAAGCTTCAATTTGTGTTTTGTCCGATCTTCAGTTCAAAACCCAAAGATATTAAATTCATAAACACAGCTGACTGAAAAAAAACAACAACAAATGCTTCCATTTTAGGAAGCTGCAGGCAGTGGATTTATGGATTTTTTTGTGTTAAAAAACACTGAATGAAATTGCAGTCAGATAACTGTAGACGAAATGCCACCTCCTGTCCGCCAATCAATGCCGTACTCTTTGAACAATTTATTTGGGGAGGTAAAAAAAGCGGAATTCTGGGCACACAATACCTGCAGAAAATCAACCAGCATTCTGCTTCTACTCACGCAGCTGTTTATGAGTGTATCTGCTTTCTCCTTGTGAACACTGACCTTCTTCTGCACAATGCTATGAATGTGTGTTAGGTGTGAAAGCTTCGCTTAGATTCAACCAGTCACTGTGAAAGGACCAATAATGGTGCCACCCAATATATTTCCCTCTGCAATTCAGTGCTGACCGTCTTTTCTTTATTAAAAAAGAAATAAGCAATTAAGTCAGTAGATTCAGTTAGACCCCACAGCTGCAGCCGTGTGCGGCACAATCTGAAACAAAAACACAGCACAGAGTGGACTTGTAGCTGAAAAGATGGATTACAATCTTCCGTGATATAACTTTAATCTCATGCCTCCACCCAGTATTTCTTCGTACCTGGAAATGTGACAACAATGGATCACAAAAAAAAAGAAATCACACCCACACCCAATGCATGATGTCTGCGTGCACTACTTCTTTGTGTGTGAGAATGAAGTCCTTCTGCAAAGTCCAATCATTTATTAAACTTATATTTTTTAGATACACTGGCCAGGCTTCAAACCCCAAAACAAAGCACACGTTCCTGCTGAGAAGAAAGAAGAGCTGCTGCAGTCTTCTTTACTATTTGCATACATGGCACGCAAACTAACCCTGCATGTTTTCATTGAGGCTTCAAGCTAATAATGTCTGGTTTGAGGGAGGGGGGGGTCAAAGGTTAACTGTCTGGATCATACAATGTGAGCACTAAAAAACACTTGTATGCATAACCTACTTCAGGCACATGGGAATTTATCAAAGGCGTGCCACACTGGAATTAACTTTTTGGGTGTGTCATGAGAAAGTAATGAATGTGGGCATGATGACAAGGAAAACAAAAGATCCCTAACAATATCACATAGGCCTATAGGTGCATGTGAAATCAAAGATGAGTTCAGTATTTAGTTCAGTATTTTTCAGTATTAGGTTTGAAGTGTGAAGTAGCATCATGACATTAGCAGGCAGCAGATTGCATCTCTATATTTATCTCTGCAGACTTCTGCAGGGACTGAGGTGAGTTTGGAGTGACCTTGTTGTCGGTTAGACTTCTACACTGCAGTCTTATATCAATAGTCTGCGATCACATACGTGTCCGGCAATGTCAGGAGAAGAGATGCCTGAAAGTTGGGTTTTTTGGGATCGATTCTGTGGGTCGTTACCTATATCTCGACGGGTCGATTCAACGGGGCGGGAATCCATTTCTCCACCGCGGGCCGTGCGCGTGCAGACGCTGAGCTGGTGCATGGGGCAGCACGAGCGGGGGGAGCACTGGCGAACTCTCGGCATGGGTCGGTCCGGGTTCCACCCCTGCAGTTGCGGCGCGGGAAGCGAGCGAGCGAGCACCGCCGGGCTGGTCCGGAGTCTGCGGAAGACGCAGGAAGCGGAGTCCGCGGCTTGACCTTCCCGACGGATTTCTTTTGGCAGGAGTTGTAACGTCCTCGAGGGTGCAAGTTGAAAGGGAGGGGGGGGACGCGCGACTGATTCGTTCCCGGTGCTGTCGGTGAGGAGGATTTCCCTGTGCGGCTTTAAGGCTGTACCTCATTACCTGCCCTGGTTCAGACAGAGAGGCAGCGACGGCACAGGAGCACTTCAACTGAAGAGGTTCAGCCCCCTTCTGACAAACCAGAAACACTCCTTGATAGATATGTTTGAGCTAAAGCAATTTATATTACAGATATGTTTACTATTACATTACCTTCTGTTAGCCTGAGAATATAATTGTTTTGTATTTGATGCAGCCTCTTGTGTAACGGCATTAAGATATCTTGGGAGGATTGTGGTCTAATCGTGATGTTATCTTGAGAAACTGACCCCGAATTTGCAAAACTGACAATTCCCACACCTGTTCACATTAAGAGGAAACTAGTCTGCATGGCGTTGGGCCCCTATACTTACACAGGAATATGCACCACCTGAGCACAATAAAGTAGAATACATATAACAGAATAGTTTGACAGCATCCTTCTAAAAGACAGGGCAACAACAGTGGCAACCACCTACATGGTTAAGGTGGGAAACTAATTAAATTACCCCAAAAAAAGAAAACATGACAGGCATCCTCTCTGGATGTTATAAGCATGTTATGTGTAATAAGCTACCTATATGAGGGAAATAATGACAATAATGACACCATCTCATTTAAAAGTTTTTATTTGAAATGATTTTAAATACAAATAATATACTTTTTTCCATTTACAATGACAGTTCCTTTGTAAACAAAAGTGGCAGATAGATAGTCATTGGGTAGTTTTGTCCAAACTGAGGCGGCCTGCTGGCCGGTCGCCTGGACAAGGCCTGCCATGGGAGAGATGGTGTCGTATTTAACCTCACTGCAGTTTCTTTTTTTGTTTTCTTTCTTCTTCCACACAGCGAACAAATCACTGATGCTACATTCTATTGCAGAGCGATAAATACTCAGAGTACAATATTACCTGCTTTGAACACAATTACAGGAGGGTGTATAGTGAGCGCATGTGTTTTTTGTGAGTATGTGGTGTCGGGAGAGCGTGTCCACAGATATTCATACCGCTGACAAACAGTGAGAGCCCCCAGAGCCGCACAAGGAAGCTCGGATTTTCTTTTTGCAGTGGAATATAATGGATGAAAAAATATATATATATAGATTGGAACAAAACAAGACAATGTGTTACATTTGTTTTAACAAAAAAAAAAAAAATGGCTAAATGAAAGTGGATTCTTTTGGATAGCCAGAAATCTCAGGCAGAAAAACAAAAAAAGAGAAATCCTTGAGATGTGGTATAGGTCGTAATTACAAAATGAAGCTCCTTCTGCTTTATTGGCTACAGAAACAAGTTATGCTTAGCCTCACCCTAAAGTTACGTTCAACAGTTTGTTTTTATTGGGGACACTTCAGAGTGCTGCGCTGAGTCAGCGATCCATTAACACAGGGTCGATCACACGTCACGCACAATTGCCAATCCTCTTCAAAAGACAGACAAAACTGTACTCTTTAGAGGTTTTGTCACAGCAAGATCGGCGATATGTATTCCAGGACTGTGGAGCAATAGTTTACTATAAAGAGAATAACTCTAAACTGAAAAAAGAAAAAATACTGGTACAAAAGAACACACCAAAAAAAAAAAAATTTTCTTCTGCTCTCCCAAGAAACACTGGTGCATAGCACCCAAGGACTTGTATGTTGTGGTATTTCAGTTGTATTTATAAGGCCTTTTCGGACAATGAGTCTATACTGGAATGTGCTACAATTGTAAAAGGAAAAAAAAGGATGAAGAGGAGTCACTTCTCTGAAAAGCCACAAGGAAGGATGTGTGTGTGTGTGTGTGTGTGTGTGTGTATACACATATACACACACAATATATATACACATACATATATATACACATATACACATACATATATATACACATATATATACACATATATATATACACATATACACATACATATATACACATATACACATACACATATACACATACAGGTGCTGGTCATATAATTAGAATATCATCAAAAAGTTGATTTATTTCACTAATTCCATTCAAAAAGTGAAACTTGTCTATTATATTCATTCATTACACACAGACTGATATATTTCAAATGTTTATTTATTTTAATTTTGATGATTATAACTGACAACTAAGGAAAATCCCAAATTCAGTATCTCAGAAAATATTACTTAAGACCAATACAAAGAAAGGATTTTTAGAAATCTTGGCCAACTGAAAAGTATGAACATGAAAAGTATGAGCATGTACAGCACTCAATACTTAGTTGGGGCTCCTTTTGCCTGAATTACTGCAGCAATGCGGCGTGGAGTCGATCAGTCTGTGGCACTGCTCAGGTGTTATGAGAGCCCAGGTTGCTCTGATAGTGGCCTTTAGCTCTTCTGCATTGTTGGGTCTGGCATTTCGCATCATCCTCTTCACAATACCCCATAGATTTTCTATGGGGTTAAGGTCAGGCGAGTTTGCTGGCCAATTAAGAACAGGGATACCATGGTCCTTAAACCAGGTACTGGTTGCTTTGGCACTGTGTGCAGGTGCCAAGTCCTGTTGGAAAATGAAATCTGCATCTCCATAAAGTTGGTCAGCAGCAGGAAGCATGAAGTGCTCTAAAACTTCCTGGTATACGGCTGCGTTGACCTTGGACCTCAGAAAACAGTGGACCAACACCAGCAGATGACATGGCACCCCAAACCATCACTGACTGTGGAAACTTTACACTGGACCTCAAGCAACGTGGATTGTGTGTCTCTCCTCTGTTCCTCCAGACTCTGGGACCCTGATTTCCAAAGGAAATGCAAAATTTACTTTCATCAGAGAACATAACTTTGGACCACTCAGCAGCAGTCCAGTCCTTTTTGTCTTTAGCCCAGGCGAGACGCTTCAGACGCTGTCTGTTGTTTAAGAGTGGCTTGACACAAGGAATGCGACAGCTGAAACCCATGTCTTGCATACGTCTGTGCGTAGTGGTTCTTGAAGCACTGACTCCAGCTGCAGTCCACTCTTTCTGAATCGGTTTTGTTTCACAATCCTCTCCAGGGTGCGGTTATCCCTATTGCTTGTACACTTTTTTCTACCACATCTTTTCCTTCCCTTCGCCTCTATTAATGTGCTTGGACACAGAGCACTGTGAACAGCCAGCCTCTTTTGCAATGACCTTTTGTGTCTTGCCCTCCTTGCGCAAGGTGTCAATGGTCATCTTTTGGACAACTGTCAAGTCAGCAGTCTTCCCCATGATTGTGTAGCCTACAGAACTAGACAGAGACCATTTAAAGGCCTTTGCAGGTGTTTTGAGTTAATTAGCTGATTAGAGTGTGGCACCAGGTGTCTTCAATATTGAACCTTTTCACAATATTCTAATTTTCTGAGATACTGAATTTGGGATTTTCCTTAGTTGTCAGTTATAATCATCAAAATTAAAAGAAATAAACATTTGAAATATATCAGTCTGTGTGTAATGAATGAATATAATAGACAAGTTTCACTTTTTGAATGGAATTAGTGAAATAAATCAACTTTTTGATGATATTCTAATTATATGACCAGCACCTATATATATATATACGCACGCACACGCACACACACGTATCTGATCCCGTTAGAAAGACTGAAACTCACAACTTGTATGAAGTATATGGACAAGAAGAGTACTCAATAATTAAAAAAATCTGAAAACTGCAAGTTATGCCGTTTCCCCCATTATACTCGAGGTCAATTCATTTCCAGAATCACCTGCTTTCAACCACCAGGTGTCTCTTTCTGAAAAGCACGGATCACAGGGAACGAACGAGCGTGATTAATGGAACCGAGTGGAGATCAGCGTCTATCTGTAGACTTCTCCTTAAACATACAGTGAGTACAAGTACAGACAAGTGACCTGCTGGTTTGACAGCAGAAAGTAGTAAAAGAAAAACAAAAAACAAAAAAAACACTGAAGAGACCGAACTGTGCTCCCGTGTGCTGAAAGGAGCAATCGGTCCCAATGGTTGACGTGATCCCCGACAAATAGGACCAAAGCTCACACTTCTGCAGTTTTTAATTGTACAATAGAAAGTATCATTGGTGTGGAAAACATCGGCGCCGAGTGATTCTTTAAATTAGGAGCGAGAGCCATGTCATGAAGTCCATACGGAGGTCATGGGTTTTTGTTAAGTTTGCAAACGGAATTAGCTGTTGTACATCTCCCACTCCAAGGAGAAAAAGAGCCCAGATAATAGGTCCTCCAGTCCACAGTGTGTCAATCTTTCATTCCTTTACAAACACATACAGGGTTACAAACACACACACCATCCACTCTCACGTGCACACGGGCCTGGGTAAGTATTCACAGAATTCTCTTCCGCCAGCAACGGAAAGTTAATGAACAAGTCTCTGTAGAAAAGGGGGGGGGGGGG